AAGACTATGCAAATAAATTTCAATCTAAATGCAGATTTTGTTTAATATTTATCAAGTTTTGATTGCATAAGAATAACGCGAAATTTGGTCATGAAAGCACAAAATATATTTAAAAAAAAAAAAAAGAGATACACCTTTTCTATTAAATTAAGTAAGTTATGTTCCCTATATACTCTAGATACTTCACAAAAATTCTTATATACTCTAAAGAATTCAAGATGTTAAAAACTAGATATGTAAAACAAAATGTAAAGAAAAAAATTCTACAATTTAAATATAAAAATTCAAAAAAATATCAATGAACCTAATTTTGTTTTACAAGTTTTAATTTTTTTTTTAACTTAAATAATTTAAATTTATTTATATTTTAATAAGTAAATTAGTTTTTTATAGCTCAAAATATTTAAAAACTCATTTAAATTATTAAAAAGCTAAATATATTTTAAAAATGAATTACAAATATCATAAAAGTAAAAAAAAAAAAAAAAAAATTCAAAGAAAAAAAATAAACTGCACTCAGAAAAAAAAAAAAAAATACAAAAAAAGGAAATATAAACCACATATAAACTACATATTTAATGCATGAGATACATAAAGCGCTTTAAATGGCATTGCCAGACAAACAGGTTTCATGAGTGTGTGTCATCCCATTTCCAATTGGGTCTGCGCTAAGCCCGTTTTGGGCTCCCGGTTGAGCGCTCAACGCGCCCAGACATGCAGTACGAAACGGGAATTGGTTCGGTTCGGTTCGCCAAATGGACGCCAAAGGTGAAAAATCTGTGAAGTAGCAAAGAATAACAAATTAAAAAAAAAATAAATAAATAAAATTAAATAAATAAAGGAAATTGTTCAGTGTGCGCTCCTCGGTTACTACAAATATACAACAAAAATATGAAGAATTTATAGATAAATTTTCCTTTAGATATCAGCGCTTTGCATACGCTTTCCATCAGCTCTGTATATGTGCTATGTTTGCCGCCCAAGTGCTTGTGTCACAGTTTGGTTTTATTTACGCCGTAGTTTGTCACTTAGTTTGTCAACTTCAATTGAAATTAATTTACTTTCTTCACATTTAGCTATCGTGTAGATGTATGCCTGTAGATGTATCCGTGTAGCTTGTGTAGCTGACTATCAGTCAGCCTTGTATGCGATCAGATTTAAGCACAAAGGTCAGCAAATAAACAAATTGTCGCACATTATATGGTTGTTTATCCTATTTGGCTGTGAGCATACGCAAAAAAAAATAACAACTAAACTAACCGAAAGCTTTGCAAATTTTCTAGCTCAATTTTTGCAAGAAAGAAAAAACAAATAACAAAATTACTGGAAACTTTTGTGGCTGGAAAAACTGTCACAAAATTGGGTTCCCAAGACTGGTTTCCTTCTTTTTTTTCGGCTACAGTATGCAAACTGCCCAATATGGTCAAAACTGCAATGTAACTGTGTCACAATAGACACCAATACATATGTATATGCATATCTATATATGTACATGTGTATATAGCTGCACATCGAATCGTGATCGGCGCAAACTATTCTAGAAGATTGTGTTTTGCATACAAAACACTTCAATTTCAGCGCCAATGCCTCGCATTTTAATGAGCCGCAATCACAACTTTTGAAAACTAATCAAAAGTGCTTTGCGTTGAGAGAGAAAAATAAATTTATATAAAAAAAAAACATACTTATAGAATCATGTACTTCTTCTTTCTGCATAGCTCTTGGCAATTATGTAAAGTGTCTGCGCAAGAAATTTGCAAACGAAAATGAATAAAATCGTGGTACCATAAAACGAAACTCTAAACAAACAGCAACAGAATAAAAAAAAAACAACAACAACAGAGAAGAACAACAAACTAAAAACTAGTGCAAGACAAGCAAAACAAAAATCTCTCGAAAAGTGCTAACAATTAAAACACATTTAAGAACAACAGCATAAAATAAAAACTTACAAAACTTGAATGTCACGAAGAATGAAAATGTTGCAAGTGCCGGCAGCAACATTTTTATTGCTGCTGCTGTTAGCGGCGACGGCAAACGCAACGGCAACAGCAGCGGCTGACAGTGACACAACAGCCAGCAGCATCGCAGAGCGGCAAATTGATGGCAGTTTGAAGAATGCCAAGCTGATTGAGAGCAAAGTGCTGCCCGATTTGGCTGGGCTGCAGTCCAATCAGGAAGATGACAAGTGGCAGCACATTTACCGGTTTATCAACGATGGCTTTCCTGTTTTGGAACTCTACGGCTACAAGACAAAGACAGGTGAGTGATGATCCCACATATATACATACATATACATACATACATATACATATATACATATACATATACATATATAGGTAGACTAGCATATGAGTTAACAAGACTGGGAAATGAACAATTAACTTACTTTAAGTGCAGCCAGACAAAGCCAGATCATGTTAAGGAAGTAGAAGTATTTTAATAAAAATAATATATAAATATAAATCAGAAAAATTAAATTTAATATCTAAAAACTTTTACGTAATAATTATTGTAATTTTTAAACAAACATATTTCATATATATAAAAATATTTATCAAAAGAAAAACAAGTTTTGTATTATAAAGTTTTCTAAGAATATTTCCAATGATAAACCATCTCCTGCAAGCATTTATAGACATTCGATCAACTGCAACTTAAGCACTGAAAAATGCATCGAACGTCTGTTGAACCTGAATTCGCCAAAAACGTTATGTCAGCGCTATTTATCCATTGCCATTAATTTTTTATTTCGATGTATCAAATTATTTGCTCGAAAAGAATTGAAAATTGATCTGCATTTCGACAAAGCAACTTATGCTAAGCAGAACTTGCATAAGTCATGGAGTGATTGCAAAAGCATTAATCGAGTATAAAGTCCAGCTGAATATCATATATAAGCTATGTTATATATGTTAAACCATAAACATTAT